CAGTGAACATGGGTGTGCATGTATCTATTCGTGTGACGGCTCACTTCTCTAGGATATATTCCAAGGAGTGGGATTGCTGGTTCATACGGTACTTCTATTTCTAGCTTTTTAAGGAAGCGCCAAATCGATTTCCAAAGTGGTTGTACCATTTTACATTTCCACCAACAGTGTATAAGTGTTCCAGTCTCACCACAACTTCTCCAGCATTTATGATTTAGTGTTTTTTGGATTAATGCTAGCCTTTTTGGAGTGAGATGATATCATCGTAGTTTTGATCTGCGTTTCTCTAATGGCTAATGATGGTGAGCATTTCTTCATGTGTCTGTTAGACGCCTGAATATCTTCTTTGGCGAAGTACCTGTTCATACCCTTTGCCCATTTTGTAATTGGGTTATTTGTTTTTGTGGTTGAGTTTTTGCAGTGTCTTGTAGATTTTAGAGATTAGACGCTGATCAGATTTGTCGTAGCCAAAATTTTTTTCCCAGTCTGTAGGTTGTCTTTTTACTCTTGGTGAAGTCTTTTGATGAGCGTAAGTGTTTGATTTTTAGGAGCTCGCATTTATCTTAGTCTCTCTTCTGGTGCTTGTGCCTTGTTACTTACGGTTCGTATTGTGTTTATGCCATGTATTAGGGCTCCTAGCGTTGTCCCTATTTTTTTGTCCATAATTTTTATCATTTTCCATTTTATATTTAAGTCTTTGATCCATTTTGAGTTAGTTTTCATTCATGGTGTGAGGGATGGGTCTTGTTTCAGTTTTTTGCATATAGATATCCAATTATGCCAGCACCATTTGTTAAAGAGACTGTCTTTTCCCCAATTAACAGGCTTTGGGCCTTTGTCAAATATCAGCTGCTCATAAGTGGATGAATTTATGTCTGGATTCTCAATTTTGTTCCATTGGTCTGTGTATCTGTTGTTATACCAATACCAGGCTGTTTTGACTACTGTGGCAGTATAATAGGTTCTAAAATCAGGTAGTATGAGGCCTCCCAATGTGTTCTTCTTGAGCAATGCTGTATTTATTTGGGGCCTCTTCCCTTTCCTGTGAAGTTGGTGATTTGTTTCTCCATCTCATTAAAAAATGCCAGCGGACTTTGGATTGGGATTGCATCGTATCTGTAGATTGCTTTGGGTAGAATTGACATTTTCACTATGCTGAGTCTACCTATCCATGAGCAAGGTATATTTTTCCACTTACGCAGGTCTCTTTTAGTTTCTTGCAGTAGTGGCTTGTAGTTTTCTCCGTATAGCTCTTTTACATCTCTGGTTAGATTTATTCCTAAGTATTTTATCTTCTTGGGGGCTGTTGTAAATGTTATTCATTTAGTAATTTCCTCTTCGAAGTTCCCTTTGTTGGTGTAAAGGAATCCAGCTGATTTTTGTGTGTTTATCTTGTATCCTGAAACTTTGCTGAAATCTTCTATTCCAGTAGTTTTCTTGTGGATTCTTTGGGGTTTTCTGTGTATAAGATCATATCATCTGCAAATAGAGATACTTTGACTTCTTCCCTACCAATTTGGATGCCCTTTATTTCTTTTTCTAGCCTAATTGCTCTGGCTAGAATGTCCAGCGCAATGTTGAATCAAGAGTGATGATAGAGGGTATCCTTGTCTGGTTCCCGTTCTCAAGGGGAATACTTTAAAGTCTCTCCATTTACGATGATATTGGCTGTTGGCTTTGTATAAATGCCCTTAATTATATTGAGGAATTTCCCTTCTATTCCTATTTTGTTGAGAGATTTTATCAGGAATGGGTGTTGGACTTTGTGCCTTTTCTGCATTGATTGATAAGATCATGTGGTTCTTGTCTTTGTTTTATTTATGTGATGGATTACATTGATTGTTTTTCTAATGTTGAACCATCCCTGCATACCTGGTATAAATCCCACTTGATCATGATGAGTTATTTTTTTGATATGTTGCTGAATTCTGTTGGCTAGAGTTTTGTTGAGGATTTTTGTGTCAATGTTCATGAGGGATATTGGTCTGTAATTTTCTTTTTTTGTGGTGTCTTTACCTGGTTTTGGTATCAGAGTTATGCTGGCTTTGTAGAATGAGTTTGGGAGTATTCCATCCTTTTCTATGCTCTGAAATACCTTTAGTAGAAGTGGTGTTAACTCTTCTCTGAAAGTTTGGTAGAATTCTCCAGTGAAGCCATCTGGCCCAGGGCTTTTTTTTTGTTGGGAGTTTTTTAATTACCTTTTCAATCTCTTATTTTGTTATGGGTTTATTTAGTTGTTCTACCTCTCTGTGTTAGTTTAGGTAGATAGTGAGTTGGTAGAAATTTGTCTGTTTCTCTGGGTTTTCAAATTTGTTAGAGTACAATTTTTCATAGTATTTGCTTATGATTCTTTTAATTTCAGTTAGGTCTGTTGTGATATCACCCATCTCATTTCTTATGTGGGTCATCTGCTTCCTCTCCAGTTTTTCTTTTGTCAGTTTGGCCAGTGCTTTATCAGTTTTGTTGATCTTTTCAAAGAACCACCTTTTGGTCTTGTTAACTCTTTCAGTATTGTTTTTCTGTATTTCATTTAATTCTGCTCTAATTCTTATTATTTCCTTTCTTCTGGTGCCTGAGGACTTCTTTTGCTCTCTCTTTCTACTTGTTGCAGTTGTAGGGTTAATGTTTTGCTTATGGCCCTTTCTTCTTCTTGGATGTGTGCATTTATTACTATAAGCTGACCTCTTAGCACTGCTTTTGCTGTGTCTCAAAGGTTCTGGTAGGATGTGTTTTCATTCGTAGTTTTGTCTATAACCCAGTAGTTTTTGAACAAGGTGGTGTTCAGTTTCCACGTGTTTGATTTTTTTTCCTTGTGTTTTGTTTTGTTGATTTCTACTTTTCTGGCTTTATGGCCTGAAAAGATGCTTTGTAATATTTCGTTGTTCTGGATTTTGTTAAGGCTTGCTTTATGGCCTGATATGTGGTCTATTCCGGAGAATAAAAGTATACTTGGCTGCTGTTGGGTGCAGTGTTCAGTATATGTCTGTGAGATCAAGTTGGTTGATTGTAGCATTTAGCTCTTCCGTGTCTTTGTTGAGCTTCGTTCTGGATGTTCTGTCTTTCACCAAAAGTGGCACGTTGAAGTCTCCTACTACTATTGTGGAGCTCTGTATCTCTCTTTTCAGTGCTGTTAGAGTTTGTTTTATGTATTTTGGAGCCCTGCCATTGGAAGCATAAATATTTATTATAGTTACGTCCTCCTGGTGTGTTGACCCTTTAACATAGTGTCCTACCTTATCCTTTGTGGTGGATTTTACTTTAAAGTTTATTTTGTCAGAGATTAATATTGCCGCTCCTACTCTTTTTTGAGTGCTGTTTGCTTGATATATTTTTTTTCCATCTTTTGAGTTTTAGCTTCTTTGTGTCTTTAAGGTGTGTCTCTTGCAGGCAGCATATAGACAGATCATGTTTTTTAATCCAATCTGCCACTCTCTGTCTCTTATTGGTGCATTTAGCCCAGTTACATTCAGCGTAATTATTGATAGGTATGCGTTTAGTGCTGTCATTTTGATGTCTTTTTTTTTGTGTGTTGTTCACAGTTTCTTTGTTCCACTTAATTTTCTGTGCTGAGTTGTTTTTCTTTATGTATTTTCTTTTCATCTTTTTCGTTGTTGATTTGTGTTTGCTGAATCTTTATATTTTTCTAGTTTTTTTATTTTGATTTGTAGGATTGTTAGTTTCCTTTGTGGTTACCTTGATATTTACCCCTATTTTTCTTAGTTTATACCCTTCTTTTATTTCTTTATTATCGCCTTGACTTCCCCTCCATATGAAAAATCTATGTCTACATTTCTTAAGTCCTTCTTTTTTGTTTTAATGTTGTCATTTCTTACATATTGATATCTCTGTTTCCCTATTCCCAGTGTTTTAGCTTTGGTTTATTTTTATGACTTCCCTGTCTGGGTTGATATCTGGTTGTTCTCTCATGTGTTCTAGTCTTGGATTGTTATCTGATGTTATTGATTTTCTAACCGGAGGACTCCCTTTAATATTTGTTGTAATTTTGGTTTGGTTTTTGCAAATTCCCTAAACTTCTGTTTATCTGAGAATGCCCTAATTTCGCCATCATATTTGAGAGACGGTTTTGCTGGATATATAACTCTGGGCTGACAATTTTTTTTCTTCATGGCTTTATGTATGTCATCCCGTTGCCTTCTTGCCTGCATAGTTTCTGCTGAGTACTCTGAGCTTATTCTAATTGACTCTCCTTTGTAGATGACTTTTCTTTTATCTCTAGCTGCTCTTAAAATTCTCTCTTTATCTTTGGTTTTGGTAAATTTGATTATAATATGTCATGGTGACTTTCTTTTGGGATCTACCTTATGTGGGGTTCAATGAGCATCCTGGATGGATATCTTCTCATCTGTCATGATATCAGGGAAGTTTTTTGCCAACAAATCTTCAACAATTATCTCTGTGTTTTCTGTTATCCCCCCTTGTTCTGGTACTCCAATCACTTGTAGGTTATTTCTCTTGATAGAGTCCCACATAACTCTTAGAGTTTCTTCATTCTTTTTAATTCTTTTGTCTGATTTTTCCTCAAATAAGTTGGTGTCAAGAGCTTTATCTTCAGTGTCACTAATTCTGACTTCTCCTGTCTCTGTTCTGTTCCTATGACTTTCTATTGAGTTGTCTAATTCTGAAATTTTATTGTTAATCTTCTGCATTTCTGATTGCTGTCTTCCTGTGGATTCTTGCAGCCTATTAAGTTTGTTATTATGTTCTTGAATAACCTTTTTAATTCCGCTACTGCTTTGTTCTTTGGATTTCTCTGCGTTTTGAAGAATTTCCTTTCTAATTTCTTGAAGAGTTCTGTTTATTAATCTTTTGTATTCTGCCTCTGGTAATTCCAAGAAATTCTCTTTCTCCAGAAAATTTATTGATTATTTTGGGAGCTTGATGAAGCCATCATGGACTGCCTGTTTATGTGATTGGATATTGTCTGTTGTCTCCGAGCCATCAGTAAGTTATTATAATTTTATTTTATATTTGTTTAGTGTGTCCTAGCTTCTTGTTTTGTTTTGTTTTGACATGCCCAAATAGGCTGCATGTGTGCGCTAGTTTGATTATTAGCACCTTTGAAGCTCTAACGTCCTATCATCAGGTAGTCAGTTCTGTAACTAAGTATCTGTGCCCAGGAGTTGGTTAAATTTTCCTGTATGGATTCAGCTCAGGTGTCCAGGCAGTAGGTCACCAAGTGTGTGGTGCAGGCTCTCACCTACAGTCTTAGAGAGGCATGGGTGATTAGTGTGGCACAGGTATCTGGCTGCAGTAGGGGGTCACGCGCTGAGCAAGGCAGGAGGCTGACGGCTGCCCCTGAGTGTCTGAAAGGAAAGTGTGTCCCTGTTCCTAGAGCGAATAGGTAGATAAGTTTTGCAGCTGGACTGTGAGCACCCTACTCTGTTGGCTGTAAGGACTGGGGGGCACCACTTATCCTTGGACCCCTGTAGCCAGTGGCTAGGTGGCGTGGGTGGAGCCACCAGTTCTCAAGCCACTGATGCGGACAGTTAGGCATTGCTTAAAGGGCAAAGCAGTGTCAAGTGTCACAAATCTGCCACTTCACAGCTGAAACAGTTGAAGTTGGACTGCAGGTATTTACCCTGTGGTACTGTGGTAGTCAGGGCTTATGCTGTTGAGATGAGCCCACACAAGTCTATACAGGGGTGGAAGGCACTCAAAATCCGCAGACCCCTTATGCCTGTGCCTAGGCAAAGGAGCTGTGCGAACCCTGAGTTCCTGGCTTAGGGGAGCCGGTAGCTTATTTTTTCCATTTGTTAATTTGTTGCCTTTCCAAGGTCAGGAGAATGGGTCAGGCTGCCTTATGGGATCTACTTCCGGCCCAGGGGACTCACAGATCGCCGAAGCTGGCTGGACCCAGTGCAGAGTGAGGAGGGAGGAGGTAAATGGGAGAGAGGTATTTCCCAAATGGGTTTTTTTTTTTCTTGAATCCCCGCGAAAGGCCACATGCACATACTTATCTTTAGCCACTTGGGTGCTGGTTTTCACTGGTTCGGAGTGTCCAAATAGAATCTCTGCTGCCGGATCTCTCTCAATGTGGAAAGTGCCTACCAAGGGAGCGAGCAGAGCTGTATGCCCCGCTCACTGCGCACCCTGAGCCGATCCGGCCTGAAGGGCTGCAGCTCCCGCTAGGTCAGGTCAGGCAACTCCTTGCTGCTTCCGAACCGTCTCTCTCTCCCCCTGCCACTCAGTCCAATTCCTCAACTTTGCCTTGTTTAGGGCCCCTAGATATTCATATACAATCAATTCACTTGTTTTTTCAGGTCTTTGTTGTAAGAGGGACATAGGAAGCTGTCTGACTACTCCACTGTCTTGGCCCTGACTCCATATATGTGTTTTTTAATGTGGGTTTTTGTTTTTTTTTTTAATACGGTGAAAGTTCCCAAAAAGGAGAGTTGACTCATTGCTGTTGAGTCGATTCCGCCTCTTAGCGACCCTGTAGGACAGAGTAGAACTGCTCCATAGGATTTCCAAGGAGTGGCTGGTAGGTTCGAACTGCCGGCCTTTTGGTTAGCAGCTGTGGTCTTAACCATTGTGCCCCCAGGGCTCCAGAAATGGAGAATTACATACTGCATTTTATCATCACTCAGTTCACTTGTGTCCTGGTTACTGGTGGGAATTCATAGTTCTTGGGCCTCGTTTTGTTGGCACAATAAGGGAGGAAAAATGAGTCAGAGGCGTTCTGAACATCAGAGTATTCCTCAGGCGTTGCCCTTTGCGGGAAGCAAGATGGCGTTCACCTCTGTCAGCAGGGGCTTGAGTGCCAAGTGGGAAGCGGCAGCCCTTTGCTCCACTTTTCAGAAGGCGGTATTTCTTTGGAATAAGCTTGCAGTTTCTGTTTCCACTCCTTTTTGGAAAAGAATCTGCAGTATCCAAATCAGCAAATCAGTGTTGTTTTTGTTACAAAACGAGGAACTGAGGCCTGGAATAATCCCATCACTTCTCACAGGTCACTTTTAGGTTTGGATGGTTCTTTTGTTATGAGAAAGAAGGAATTTGGGACTAGAATAATCCCACCGCTTTTCACAGGCCATTTCTAGACTGGAATGTTGTCAAGCTCCCTGCCCCGTGGGACAGTCCAGCCTAGTTCTAACATGGCTGAGTTGGTTCTGTGTCAGGCAGACGCTCAGGGCCTCTTTTTGTGGAGGCCAGCTTTAGGCCCAGGACTGGGAGTAAATGACAAAAACCCAGCACTGCCGTCGAGTGGATTCTGACTCGTAGTGACCCCATAGGGTTTCCAAGTCTGTAAGTCTCTACAGAAGCAGACTGCCACATCTTTCTCCCCAGGAACTGCTGGTGGTTTCAAACCGCCAACCTTTCGGTTAGCAGACGATCGCTTTAACCACTTCACCACCGGGGCTCCTCAAATGACAAAAAAGAGGTACCAAATTTAAGTGAGCTCATTTATGTGAAACAGGAAGACCTGAGTTGATCTCAAATTTTCTTTCTAGACAGTCTCAGGATCCAGATCTTAAGACAGCATGCACTTCAATTAAAAAAAAAAAAAACCATTCCTTGCCTGCAGTATCCCAAGCCCTCTGTTAGATGCTGTATATACCAGTTGCTGTTAAGTTAACTCTGACTCATGGTGACCACATGCATATCAGAGTAGAACTGTGCTCCATAGGGTTTTCAGTGATGGATTTTTCAGAAGTAGATCACCAGGCCTTTATTCTGAGGTGCCTCTGGGTAGATTCAAACCTCCAACCTTTTGGTTTGCACCACCCAGGGACTCCAGCAGATATGGAAATGATGTTCTAAGTGCTGTGGTAGAGCTGTGTGGATTGGGCTCTGAGAGCACAGAGAAGAGAGCCCTCAAGGTAGCTCTCTGACCCGGGAGGAGGTAGCAGAGACCAGAGAGTGGAGCATCATGCCAGGCGTGGAACATAAGGGTGCTTAGTAAATTGTCAGATTAAATGAAAAGGGGTAAAGAAGGATGCTTACAATTTACCAGTTGGAAAAAGGGAGCGAGACAAATCTAAGCATGGAGCACCAAGGCATGAAAGTGCAGGCAGCAGAACACTTAAGTGGCTAGAAGCTGACAGGTAAGTAGGCCAGATGAGGAAAGGCCTTCTGTGCCTTGCTAAGGATCTTTGAATCTTGTGGTTACTTGCTGTGGGGTCACTTCCGATTCATGGTGACCCCGTGTGTGCAGAGTAGAACTGCTCAGTAGGGTTTTCAAGGCTGTGATCTTTCGAAAGCAGATTGCTAGGCCTTTCTTCCAAGGTGCCTCTGGGTGGGTTCGAACTTCCAATCTTGCTGCTTGTAGTGAAGCGCTTAACTGTTTGTGCCACCCAGGGACTCCCGTTTTGAATCTGAGGGCCCGTTTTTACCATTAAACACACGTACACACACACACTAATTGCGTTTTACATTTTGCCAGTTTGCAAACTGTGGTTGGTACAGATATGGGTTTTTTCTAATCTTTCACACTTATCTTGATGCTGCCTGTGACCACAGCCACTCTCCTCTTCCCGGGTTGCCAAAAGGCTGAGAACCACTGCTGACGGCTTCAGAGAAGCATCAGATTGGTAGAGTCTAGTACAGGTCACGTTTTTAGAGTGTTTGGGGTGAAGGATTTGAGAGTGATGGTTGATTAGCTGAAGTATCTTGTCATTCAGGAGACCTGCTGAGAGACCTTTGAGTTCGTAGATGATTCCTCTCTCCTGCCAGCCTTCTCCAACACCTGGCCTCAGACTGGTGCCACTTCATGGCAAAATGACGTAAATAAGAACAGACATGGAGCAAGATTTTGATATAGCTGAGTTTATTACATTTAAATGAAGGTTCTTATTTTAGAGTGACCATCTTTTTTTTTTTAGTGTTAAAAATGTCTTTGTAAGTATAATGGTATCATCATAGTAAGCAGCTATTACATTTAAATGTACTTTTGGACATATTTTTAAATTTTCGACAGTTGTTCCAGTTTTTTTTTAATACTATTATACTGGTTCAGGAAATCCAAAAACCAGGAAACCTTTGCTGTATACTATGCTGCCTTCCACAAATGAGCACTTGGAAACAAGAAGTTTGCAAAATGGATTTGATCTACGGTTAAATGCACAAAAATTATAGAAAAGATCATGTAAAGATTGTTAGCACACATTTCTCTGAAGGGAGGCTTTTACAGAGACATCACAGGAAAACAAAACTACAGACTAATATCTCTGATGAATAAAGATGCAAAAACTCTCAACAAAATATTAGCAAACCAAATCCATGACCAGGAACAGCAAGCTTGTTTAATTTCTGAAAATCAATTCATGTAATATGCCATAGTAATAGAATAAAGGACAAAAACCACATAATTGCCTCAGTAAACACAGAGAAAGCATTTGACAAAATTCAATTCAGCACCCTTTCATAATTTAAAAAAAAAAAAGAACTCAGTAAACTAGGAATAGAGTGTAACTTTCTCAATCTGATAAAGGGTACACCTAACATCATGCTTTCCTGGTCGGCGCAAACAATTAAGATGCTCAGCTGCTAACTGAAAGGTTGGAGGCTCAGGTACACCTAGAGGCACCTCTGAAGAAAAGCCTTGTGGTTTACTTCCGAAAACTCAGCCATTGAAAACCTTAAGGAGCACAGTTCTGCTTTGACACGTGGGCCTATAGGAGTCGAAATCAACCCGATGGCAGCTGGTATGGTAATAGCATACCTAATGGTGAAACACTGAATACTTTCTTCCATAAGATCAGAATCAAGAAAATGATGTCTGCTCTTGCCACCCTATTCAGCATTGTACTGGAGGTTCTAGCCAGGACAGTTAGGGCAAGAAAATGAAATAAAAGGCATCCAGATTGGAACGGATAAAGTAAAGCTATCATTATTTGCAGGTGACATAAACATGTATATAGAAAATCCTAAGGAATCCGTTTAAAAACTATAGAACTAATAAATGAGTTCAGCAACATTGCAGGATACAAGATCAATATACAAAAATTACTTGTTTCTGTACACTAGCAGTGGGCAATCTGAAAATGTAATTAAGAAAACAACTCCATTTACAGTAGCATCAAAAAGAATAAAATACTTAGTAAATTTAACAAAAGAAGCACAGAACTTATATTCTGAAAACTACAAAACATTGTTGAAGAAATTAAAGACCTAAATAAGTGGAAAGTCATCCTGTGTTCATTGATTGGAAGACATACTATTGTTAAGATAGCAGTACTCCCCAAATGGATCTATAGATTTAATGCAAGCCCTGTTAAAATCCCAGCTGGCTTCTTTGCAGAAATTGACACACTGATCCTAAAATTTGTATGGAAATGCAAGGGATTCAGAATCGCCAAAATAAACTTGAAAAAGAACAGAGTTGGAAGGCTCACACTTCCTAATGTTACAAGTTACTTCAAAGCTACAGTAATCAAGATAGTATGGTACTGGCATAAAGGCAGACGTATGGAGGTCAGTCCAGAAATGAACCCTCATATTTATAGTCCATTGATTTTCAACAAGGGTGACAAGACAGTTCAGTGGGGGAAAGAATAGTCTTTTCAACAAACGGTGCTGGGACAACTGGAAGAACACATGCAAAAGAATGAAGTTGACCCCCTACCTCACACCATATACAAAAATTAGGTCAAAGGACCAAAGACTTAAATCTGAAAACTAAAACTGTAAAACTCTTAGAAGAACCCATAGGAGTAAGTCTTTGTCTACTTGAATTAGTTAATGATTTCTTCAATATGACACCAAAGGCACAAGCAACGAAAGGAAAAAAGTAGATAAATTGGACTTCATCACAGTTAAAGACTTCTGTACTTCACAGGACACCACCAAGAAAGTGAGAAGACGGCCCACAGAATTGGGGAAAATATTTACAATCATACATCTCATAAGAGGACTCTTACAACTCGATCATAAAAAGACAGCCCAATTAAAAAATGGACAAAAAGATCCAAAGAGACATTTCTCCAAAGAAAATACACAAATGGCCAACCAGCATGTGAGAAGATGCTCAGCATCATTAGCCATCAGAGAAGTGCAAATCCAAACCACAGTGAGAGACCACTTCACACCGTCTAAGATGACTAGAATCCAAGAAGTCACATAACAACAGTTACAATAAAAACGACATAGTAACAAGTGTTGGTGAGGATGTGGAGAAACTGGAACCCTCATACGTTGCTGGTGGGAATGTAAAATGTAGCTGCTGTGGAAAACAGTCTGGTAAATCCTCGTAAAAATGTTCTAAAATTGGTTGTGGTGATGGTTGTACAGTTGTAAGTATACTAAAAGCCGTTAAATTGTACACTTTAAAAGGGTGAATTGGGTGGGAGGTGAATTCTTTCTCAATGAAGCTATTATAAAAAAAATATTGTTTGGGGTATACCATATTTTTTCCTGTTGCTGTTGTTGCCATTAAGAGTGTTTTGACCTTGTGGTCCTTTTCATCCTAGACCTCAGCCTCTCTGCCGGGTCCCTGCAGCTGGAGCGCAAAAGGAGAGACTTCACCTCTTCCGGGACCAGGAAGTTCTTCTTCGACACCCATGCCTTAGTGTGCTTACTAGAGGACAATGGTAATCTTTGTTACTGGGTGGTTACTCGGTGCCATAGAAGAACACCATACATTTTAACTTCTCTTACGGTTTTACCTAATTTCTCATTATTTCTCTTTGACTTTCCAGCCTACAGGTAATCTTTTGTTCAGTCACCAAAAAAATGTTTAAAGCCTTTTTCTTTTAAGGACATTCTTATTCACCAGTACAATTAAGACTTTTCTCACTTGTGTTCTTGCCCAAGTGACGTGTACTTTATAACATCACTATGGAAGGACAGTAGTGTAGATAAACTCAGGAATGGTTCCTACGGTAACTGAGTCTGAAACACAAAGGTAGTAGTTTTATTTTTATCCATCTTGTGCGCGTTTAATATTTGTATGAAGTTGAAATGTTGCTGAGCAGCATCTGTTGATAATTTCAACTTAGTGTCTTTTTTGTTTCGTTTTCTTTTTAATCCTCAGGCTAACATTTTCCCTTACTGCTGTTGAGTCGATTAATGTGCAAGATTGCTCTTCATTGAAAGTGCAGGTAGTGTTTAGGTACCATTCTCATATTAATCTTATCTAATCAAATACACCACTTATAATTCTCTGTTCTGTGACGCTTGTATTCTCCAAGTTGGAATTTTAAGGTTATGTTAGCTTGGTACTTGAAATAAATGACCAAAACCAAACCCGTTGGGGTCAAGTCTTTTCTGACTCCTGACGACCCTGTGTGCTACAGAGTAAAACTGCTCTGTAGCGTTTTCTTGGGTGTAATCTTTACAGCAGGAGATCACCAGGCCTTTCTTCTGTGGTGCCTCTGGATGGGTTCAAACCACCAACCTTTGGGTTAGTTGTCAAGCACAAACTGTGCCACCCAGGCACCTTTTGAAGTAACCACATCTGTGTTTTTACTTCATCGCATACCTATTTATCCAGCTGTGCATATTCATATCTGGAAAGCTACCCTCTATAGGTGCCCCAAGACAGGATGATGGAATGAAATGTTCTGTGTTTATCCGGGGGAGTTAGAAGCTCTGGGCTCAAGCCCTCCTCTGCCAAGTTCTAGCTACATAGCTGGACCCTTCTCGGCTTCCATTTCCTCGTCTGTAGGATGGTCATAATAGAAACTCCTAAGATCCTTTTGAGATTAAGAAAAAACTCTTTTGAAGAATTGTCAGATGCTATATATATTTTTTACAACTTACCAAACTTGATACGGTTGGCCTTTTTCGCCAAAACTTCTTTTAAGTAAAAATTTAAAAAGGAAAAGTAGAAGTGGGAAAGGGAATATCTGAAATTACCTTGATAAGCAGAACTCTTCCTTCTTTTCTTCATTTTAAATCTTGACCAGTGGAAATTTGTGTATTTTGAAACAGTGATTTGAGGACCCCCCTGAAATGGGTGGGGCGAAGGTACTTCCAGCTACCCATCCTGGCCTGATGGATGAGTGAGGGGATGTCTGAGATGACTGGGTTGGGATAGGCTAAGAAGGACTCTTTCGGGCATATTCCATCCTGTACCCTTTTTTTCTCCAGAGCTGTGTCTCCTGATTAAAGTAACTTCTGTATGTCTGTGACCCAGCTAACCCTTCGTCAGCCAGATCATTGTTTCATTGTCTCATTCTGACAAAAAACAAATTTGTATCTGGCAGCTCCTTAGGTATTCAGGTTTCACTTTTGCTTTTTCTCATCCCTTTGCTCCTCCATCCGTAACCACTGGTGGTTATAAGGCTTTGGAGAATCTGTTCTATAATCAGCATAAGCTCCCTTTCTGTGTCTATATTTCTTTTCCTCTTGCTTGCCAAGTCTAATGTCTAGCCATGAACTATTAATAAAGTTTAAAAAATTACAAAAGACGTGTTCATTTTACAAAAATTAGGAAGATAGAAGAGCAACAGGAAAAATACCTATAGTCCCCGTATTCCAGAGGTGAACAGTGTTAACATTTTGGTGGGTCCCCTTTTGGGTAGTTTTTCTAGATGCGTGTGACACACATGTTGAAAAATAAAAGATTCTTAATAAAGTGATTAGACTGGGTCTTTGGAGGGTTTTTTTTTTCCCCCTCTCCTTTAAATCTGTATGTGTGTGTGTTTTAATTACAGTCCCATGCTTAAGTTCATCCAAACAAGTTATATTGATTACAATCTTATCCAAACAAATGTACCATTAATTAATTATAAGAATCAATAGATTCTTCTTGAAGTTCTTATAGGTGGAAGTATTTAATGGAAAGAATTGCTTTCCAGGCACTTGGTTTAAGCGTTTTCTTAATGTTGCCAATGTGAAGCGTAAGCCAGTATCTGAAATTACTAAAAACTGTAATGCTGATGAGTTGAATCTTTATATAATTCAGTTCAACTTTATTTATTGAGTATGAAAGAATACATTTTTCCAGTCTGGACTCCTCAAACAAGTGACTAAAGAGAACTATGGAAAAAAATGGAAAAAACAGATTCTGTTTTTTAACATTAGGTAAGTTAATTAACAGCTAAATTACTACTTAATAGTCAGTTATTCTGTATATAAAATCATTGAACTTTCCTACTTACATGATTTTTAAGTTATATGTACATTCTTTAACAAAAGAAATAATGTCCATTGTGGAAATTGGAAACAATACAAAGAAATGTAAGGAAGAAAATAAAAATTACCTAGAATCTCTGTTGAATTACAACAACAATTGTGTGTATAATTTTGAGTCTTGCTTTTTGCATTTGGTATTGCAGGCGTCCCCTGTATCGTTAAACATTCTTTGAAAATGTGGTTTTTAACAGCCGGGAAGGATGTTAGAGAACTCAGTCAGCCCAGCCACCCCATTTTACATGATGGACAGACTCAAATGTTTCAGACTTGCCCAGAGGGAGTGTCTTAGTCATCTAGTGCTGCTGTAACAGAAATACCACAAGTGGATGGCCTTAACAAAGAGAAGTTTATTTCCTCACAGTGAAGTAGGCTAAAAGTCCAAATGCAGGGCGTCAGCTCCAGGGGAATGCTTTGTGTGTCAGCTATGGAGGAGGGTCCGTGTCATCAGTCTTCCCTTGGTCTAGGAGCTTCTCCGCACAGGAACCTCAGGTCCAAAGGACGCGCTCTGCTCCCGGGACTGCTTTCTTGGTGGTATGAGGTCCCCATGTCTCTCTGCTCACTTCTCTCTTATATCTGAAGAGATTTCCTCAAGACACAGTCCAGTCTTGTAGATTGAATCCTGCCTCACTAACACAACTGCTGCCATCGTCCCTCATTAACATGATAGAGGCAGGATTTACAACATACAGAAAAATCACACAATACTGGGAATCATGGCCCAGCAAAATCGATACACACACTTTTCCGGGGACATAATTCAGTCCATGACAGTGACAGACACATGACAACCTGAGTCCCCTCCTCCTCCTCCCCCACACTCTGCTCCACTCACTTCTGCATTCAGATACTCACCTGACTGAGTTTGCTGACAGCTGGAATTCTCTGAGTGTGGTTGTGTTGTTTGTGTGTTTGTATAGGGTTTACTACTCAACAAGCAGAAATCATTGTCTCCGCGCTGGTCAAGATCACAGAGGCCAACTTGGATATCGTCTACAAAGACATGGTCAACAAGATGCAGCAGGTTAGCTTTGTTGGGCGGTTTAGTGAATTCAGGATCTGAAGGTGGAGTGTTAGGTGTACGCTAGCTTTTTAGATAATGTTCGGCTGAAAAGTATATAATAGTTTTAACCATAATCGACAGACAGATGATTGCAGTGGCATAAAAAATACTTACTCAAAGCTGTGTAGTCAACTATTGTAGAATCATTGGTCAAGCATAGTTTAGTAAGTGGAGATGCAGCCAGAATTATGTATTATGTTCTTGAGCTGCTAGCTTCAGACTGCCCCCGTTTTAACTGTGACTCACTTGGTGACGATACTGGACGTGTGTTTTGGTTTTTTCCTTTCTTGTTTTGGAATGGAGGAGGACTTACCGAGCCTCTTTTCCCTTGCCCGCATTCTCCTCGTTGCTCATGAGGATGGTACCAGGTAGACAAGGTAGGAGGTGGACTTTCTAGGCGAGACTAGTTCATCTATTTTGGGTTTTGTTTTCCTAGGAGATCACCCTTCAGCAAATAATGTCTCAGATTGCTAATGTGAAAAAGGATATGATTATTTTGGAGAAGAGTGGATTTTCAGCCCTCAGAGCAGAAAACGAGGTAAAATGATAGAGCTGTGTGTACTTATAAAATGCTTTACACGAAGACATTGAGATGTAATGGGCACAGAGGGCACAGACAAGTGTACATCTCGACGAATTTTCACAAGAGTGCACACTGCCCGTTAGATCAGGAAATAGAACATGACCAACCCCCAGAAGTCCTGTCCCCGCCCCTGTCCAGTCAGCCATCCCACAGAGGAAACAGCCATCTTGGCTTATATCACCATTGAGTAGTCTTGCCTGTTCTAGAGCTTCATCTGATGGAGTCCTGGAGTCGGTTGTCTTTTGTTCACCATACGTTGCACGTAGCGGTAGGTCATTGTCCATAGTATTCTGTTGTAAAATAGGCCACAATTTATTTCTCTCTTCTACTATTGATGTACATTTGAATTGTTCTCAATTTTTGGTTATTATGACCAAGTGTAAATATTTCCTTAGTTTCTGAAAGTGTGGTTTATGAGCTCAGCAATTAAATAACTGTTGTCTATGCATCTTCCGTTTGCTCTCCGTCCTTTCTAAAGTCCTTTCAGGGAAGGTCACTTATTACCTGTTGATCTTAGCCACGTAGGGAACCTTCTAGCAAAAAGGTGAAGTTTGAAACTCAAAGTTGTCCTTGAAATCAGCTGTTTGAGGGCAGAATTTGTCAAGACGAAAGTTGAAGGAGGTTTTGGAAAAAGCAGATCCGTTAAAGGCAAACGTGTGCGTTAAAAACAAGTAGCTTAAGAATAGCTTAGGTGAACGTTAGCCGCCCCGGCAACGTGGAAAGCTTGGGCAAGCTGGCTTTGGCTTCTCTTGGGCTCCGTTAATCCACTGTCTGACCTGGGACACAGTACATGTTTATAAACCTATTTTGCTGCTTCTACAGAACAGCTTCTTTGTGCTGGATTCCAGGAAGCAACCTGCAGGACCCCTCCATCTAGAATGCCCTTAAGTTTGTTCGGCCACCTCCAACACTGACCCAGGCTGTGTAACTGGAATTTATGTCTAGTGTTCCTCGGATGAACAGAAACCTTCAAGTCTGTTCTTGCTCACCTTCTGGACTTGATACTAAGCCACCGCTACCTGCTCTTGACCTGGCCAGACCTGACCCACATCCTGGTCTCCCTCCCTCCTGGCCACCCCGGCCCTCCCAGGAGCCAAGACTGGGCGCTGACATCATCTGTATTCTCAAGTTGTTACATTGATTACAGTGAGATTTCCAAGTCAGTTCAGATAAAACCTTGAGTTTATTTCCATCTCTGTAGAAATTGAAAACGATGTTTCAGAATTCTTAGTGAAATAGTTTTTTTCCCAAGTTAAAAAAAAAAAAGCTTACATACATAATTGTGTTACTAATTTTAACCCCCAAAAAACAAATCCATTGCCGTCAATTCTGACTCATAGTGACCTGTAAGACAGAGTAGAACTGTCCCATAGGGTTTCCAAGGCTATAGATCTTTATGGAAGTAGACTGCCATATCTTACTCCCACAGAGCACCTGGTGGATTTGAACCCCTGACCTTTAAGCTAAGTGCTTAAGTAAACTTTAAGATGAGTTAAAACTGATTTCAAGATACACATGCATTGCGGTGCCATCCTGGTGAGACAAATAATCATTTTCTGTTTCTGAGACTATTGAATTAATATTGTATTCTGAATATAGTCAAGATCCTATTGAAGGAGGGAAGAACTTATACATGAATACATATTTTAATACTTGTTGATTATCAATCTTATGTATTTTTTCTAATTTTTAACAATATATTGTCCTTGACTTGTTTCTTTTTCATGTGTTTTTAGAAAATAAAGCTTGAACTACTTCAGTTAAAACAGCAAGTAATGGTAAGGTCCTCGTCCTTGTTTGCTTGCTTATTTCTGATTATATACGCTTATTCACATATGTAACATCAGGAATACTTTACATGTTCTTAAAAACTTACTTCTGTGTGTTAAATGTTTGTGTAATATGTCTCTGCACACATGGGAAGATTTAGCCAAGAACCTGTCAGTGGATAAATTATTGATGTCTATAACCAGATTCATTACGAACATTGTGTTCTAGGAGGAATTAAGTCATTTTTAAATCAGAATTGTTCTGAAGTTGCCATATGGAACCCTTAGATTCCCATAGACAAGAGTTACGTGCGATTTTAAAATGCTTTTAGCATGCCAGCTGTTGGATGTTTCTAAGTAGAAAGGACATTGATGTTAAAGAGGAAAAGGCTTTGATGGGTGTCAGAGAGCAGACTTCATTTAAATCAGAACTTAATATTTTACTCCTTTGAGTCCCTGTCTGCTTTCCAGAGTGGATCAAGGAACAGTTTTATTCACAAGTTTCTCAAGGAGAACTGTGTTGGGAATCTTGAGGTTAAAAGTGACAACAACAAAACCATCCCAGACTGGCTTCAGGGCACGAGGCTGTTCTTCGGTGTAACTGAGACGTTCTAAAGCAGGGCTGGGGCTGCACGCGCCCGGCCCCCTTAGGCCCTGAGCCGAGCCCTTGCTCTGAGGCCCGGGGGACGGCTCACTGCGAGGGAGCTGGGAGCAGTGGGGCTGCGCTTCCAGGTGGTACATCCTCAGAGGGTTTTGCTTTCACTCCTGATCTCGTTGTTTGTTGCTTGCCCTCCTCCTAGGATGAAATGATGAAAGTCCGAACAGATACCAAACTAAACTTCAATCTCGAAAAGAGCAGAGTAAAAGAATTGGTATGTTCCTTTATTAAATATGCAGAATAGATTATGAATTCATTTCTGTTCCGAATGCAGTGTTTGGTCAAGTCTAAGTTTATATACAGTTTACAAGTACTTTTAACTATTCACCTATTTATCAGTGTTAGAAAGCTGTGCTTTTTTATTTTGATTATATTTTGGATTAGGGCTTAAATTTGATGCCTTCAGAATTAAAATCTTGGTCAAACCGAGTTTGAATCTGTTTTTGTTTGTTTCAGAGGCGCTAAATTAGCAGTGAGGATTCCCGGCAACCCAGTGGTTAAACATGGGGTTGCTAACCGGAAGATTGGTTCTGTGGGAGAAAGGCCTGGCGATCTGCTCCTGTAAAGATTACAGCGAAGAAAACCCTATGGGGCAGTTCTACTGTGTCACATGGGTTGTTAGGAGTCACGGTCAACTCAGCAGCACCTAACAACAACACATCCTTAGCGTGTTATCTAGGTGTTCATAAGAAATTAAACTCGGTCTATTTAATACCGAATTCAGTGCTCCTGATTTTACAAAAATTAAATTGATCGCCTCAGACTTTATTTATTAATTTATAGCAATTAACTATATTATTACATATAATTATAATGTATTATTCTGCAGCTAGCATGTATTTCACATGAAGATGAGTTATTTGGCCCTTTTGTTCCCTTGGTTCACAGCGTTCTTTAAAGTTGTTTAAATTAACTGTGGTGATATTATATTTACAGTCAGTTTCAAGAGCAGTATGGTTTTGGGGTGCCACATAGCTATCTTTTAAAGATCCTACCAGTGTCAGAATTTAGGCTTTTCTCTTGTGGATCATTGCAATATTGAGTGAGTGAAGTCTGGAGTTTAAAGGTGGCCAGGAAAACCAGCTCGGCCCTGCCCTCTGGTGGTGATCTGACCCATAGCACTCGCTTCTGAAACCCTAACGTTGAAAGACAGACGGGAGCATTGTTCTCTGGTCTTGTGACCCGTCCTTAGTTTGGGGTGGGTTTTTTTTTTTTTTCTTTTCTGACTTCTAAGCGATGCTGTTTTTATAGTCTCTTCCCCTGCTAGTCCCAGGGGAACACTTTATAGCTAGAAAGTTTCTAGATACGTCAAAGCATTATTTTTTTCCCCGTAACAGTATTAATTTAGGTCTTGAAATTCTTCACTTAAATTACAGATTGTCATTTGCCCAGTTACATCCTGATGCCACCGCTAAGGCGGTGTGTCTGATCTCAGTGTCAACCACACTGCACAGTGGCCTGGCTCTGTAGTAACTCTAGATTGTGACTATGCCCAAGTGGGGTTTTTTGGTTTGTTTCTTAATTAAAACCAACATGTGATGCTTTAGTGCATTTTGTGTGTTTGTGTATTTGTATTGTTTTATAATCACAGCACAGTGTCTTTGTCAAAAGTGAGATTCCTAGAGACTCTTGGTTTCCCAGCTTCTGAGCTTTCCTGCCTTTGTCTAAGCCTCAGATAGTGGGGTGGTTTGTTTGTGGTCAGGATAGGATAGCTTCCAAGTTGAATCGTTCTCCCCCGTTTCAGCATTCTCAAAGCCACAGACTCTATGAGTCAGCATCCATCTACCTTGGCCCTGGGGAAGCTACTGCCGTAGTGGGAGGGGCCTGGAGACAGCCTGGGAAAGGGATAAAAAGAGAAAACCATGGCAGAGAGGCAGGTGAGGATGACAAAAGGGAGCCCAGATGTTGGAGGGATGAGGAAGGATAAATAAGAAACCCCAAGTAACACATAAAGAGAAAGGCAGGTGGGCTCTTTTATCCCTGGAGTGATTTTCTGGTGTTACGTATCCTTGGAAGTCCGGAGACCAGAATATTTAAGACGCCAGAGAAGGTGATGAGATAAAAGGGGAGAAGTCAGAACCTGACCTGTGTTACCTGTTTGTTTCAGTTTTCACTGAACGAAAGAAAGCTGCTCGAAATGAGGACAGAAGTGGTAGCATTGGTAAGAAATGAGACTTTGAGTTTCCCTCGTCATTTATCTTTGCTTCAGCCCGTGCATGGCTGGCGCCGTGTGTAATGATGTGTTGTAGGAAGATACACTCGGGTTTATTGTCACAGGATTTTTTGCACTTAACAAAATACTGTGTTATCTCGATGAAAGTTTAAATCTTAATGATTGAAGAATCTGAATATAATAAGAAATATGAGCCTATAGAACAGAGTAGAACTGCCCTATAGGATTTCCAAGGAGCGCCTAGTGGATTCGAACTGCCAACCTTTTGGTCAGCAGCTGAGCTCTTAACCACTGCACCCCCAGGGCTCTGACTTTTTATTATTTCCTTAACTTATACCAGGCATTGATTCTTTTCCCTACCGAATTACCTGGGGCTTCTGGAACCTACAGGAGGCTTCCATGAGAGAAGTATGGCTCATCAGTGGCTCTGAGGTCTACTCAGCCAGGCATTTCCTCATTCTCTGCCTGAATTGGCAGCTGTAGGAGTTTTAGTGAAACGTTCCCAGTGTCTTTAGGTACAGATGCAATATTATAACCACTTTATAGCCAGCCACACTTACTGCCCTTTGGGGGTTAATTATGTAGCTACTTTTACTGTGTTATCTTTAGGGAAGGACAAAATGGCCCTTGGATAGACAAGCCTCATAAGAATGAACCATTTGGTGTTTGAACTATGAAAGAAGAAAGCTTTTAAAGCTGTGAACAGAAGTCGGGTCAAGGCAAGCTTTCAGATTGTTTAAGGCTCCGTTCACTTTTTTTAAAGCCTTTCTTAGTCTACTGTATACCTTTCACTAAGGGGCACTTAGAAGTGTGCGACATACTCACTGCCACCAAGCAGACTGTCTTAGTAACATTGCCTCGTTTGTAGAGCAGGTTTTGGTTTACAAAAGCTTTTTCACATAGATGATCACGTGAGATTCTCTAAACAACCTATGTGAGGGCAGGGCCAACGCTGTTTTTTTCCTTTTTCTAGAAAGCAGGAAACCGAGCGCTAGAGAAGTTAAGGGTCCTGACCATTGGCGTGAGAATAGTACAAGTAGGACTAAAACCCAAGTCTGCTGAGTCTTAGCCCAGGTGTCCCTTGACTGTGCCCTGCTGGGGCGGACTCTCGAGCTGCCAGAGCAGTGGGCTGGTAACCAGAAGTGGTCTAATGGTGTGAATCTCTTTGTTTTCACAGAATGCCCAACAGGATCAGGCTCTGACCCAGACAGATCGGAAGCTTGACACTGAGGTTGCTGGCCTCAAAACCATGCTCGAATCGCACAAACTTGATAATATTAAATATTTAGCAGGTAAGCTGTCTTCTATCCAGATATCAGTCAATGACAGATCCTGCATTTCATTGATTTTAACACCCCCCCCCCCAGCTTTTTCCTCCCTATTTGAACATCTCTGAAATTGGGAGGCATCATACAGTAGATGGAGTTCATACTTTAATTGGCATTTTTCTTTCTTAGTCATGAACTAATGGTGCATTTAACAATTGATGGAATCTTAAATTGTGTAAGACACCATCACTGAGCTGTAGTTATTTAGTGATGTTCAAGATCACCATTTTATGGCTTTCGAGTTAGTGATTTTTCTGCTTCCATTGGTGACACCCCTTTTAAGGAGCTATTTTGCTCTTAACGATTTTTGACAAAAAAAAGATTCATGTACGAAAATATTCATAAGTCATTATTTTAAGTCAAACTTAACCTTTTGGATGAATCGAATATTTTAAAGCTATAAAGTATTTAGTAGTGAAATTGTGCTCTTTCTGTTGAAGTACTTGTGGCCTTATAGTGTGTACACATAACACTTTGTGAACACAGAATGTTTGTGAGTCTGCGCTTTTACTGGAAAGTGTCCTTGAGTATTGGACGCATTTGCACTTTGAAGATGATGAGCCCGGGTCGAGGAGTTGTTTTGTTAGTGGGCAGGCATTTCGTGGGATATAGGACATCAGTGAGCAATTTAATGTCGTTCTTTGGTGGATGGGTGTGTGGGTTTTTATTAAAGGCGTTCCCTCAAATACAGCTAATAGTACTCTCATTTACTTTTTTTTCCAGGGTCTGTATTTACATGCTTAACTGTAGCACTGGGATTTTATCGCCTGTGGACATAATAAAGTGTCTCTTTAAAGAGCTCTCCATTGTTTTGCCTTAAGAACACCAGCTGGTTTTCTTTCTTCCTCATTTAATGTTGAACCCTGCTTGTGCCGTAGATTATTTATCTCTCTGCATATTAGGACCTATAACCACGAGAACCACAGTCAAGGGGTCCGGAATGTCACAGTCGTTCCTCTCACCTGTTCTGTTGCGCTGCCTTTGTAAGGCTGAGTGGTGGCGGACGGGGCGGAGAGTCCGCTCGGCTGGACCAGTGAGCTGTGTCTCACCCGCAGTACACACCAACAGTAACTGCCTGTGTAATTCTCCACAGTTTTGAATCTTTCCGTCATACGCAGGATTTGGGAACTCCATCTGAAGGGCACGGTCCCTTTCGTAAGGGTCAGGGAATCATTGAACCGAAAGCAAGAGCACCCAACCCTCTTTACCTGGTGATCGTCCTGTATATCAGCTGGGCCCTGGGCTGTGGTCTGTGGCTCCATAGGATTTATTGTGTTTCACCTCGAGTTGTTGGGACGGTAGTGATACAGCTGTACTTCTACACCCAAAGGAGGTTAGTTTTTTATTTCCACTGTCTCGGTAAGTTACTGTTTGGTTACCTTTTACGCGCCTTCCAGCTAGAAAACCGTGTTGCCCAGTGGAGTGCTGTAACAGAATGGGGGCTCTTCCTCCCTCCGGGAATGCTAGATTTTTCTGCCCTCCCTCCCTCCCTCTCCTCTGCCTCTTCTCCCCGTTTGCGGCATCATCTACCTAGAAAGCGCTGGTTCTCAGCATGAAACTCTGGTTTGTCGGACAGTCTGCTTCCTCCTGGTCTTCATCTGCTTCTTACGCGGTTAAGGCACTCGATTTTCCTTCTCTAGTGATACGTGTATACGCTTTTTAAAAATGAAACCTCTCTTTGGTGAATGTGCCTGCCTCCTCAGACTGTAGGCTTTCAGAATTCGTGGAGAACTGTTGTTGGCAGCTATCATCCTATGCCAGATGGATTTCTTTTGTTGTTAAAGATGTTCTCATATCTGCCTACCTCTATATTTAAAACAAATTCCTAGATACCACTGGGGTTGTTCTGGAGAAGCGCACTCATCTTTTGTAAATGACTGGCACCTTTAAGAGAAATAAGCATTTTAGAAATAATGACATTGATGGAACCCCCCGTCTTCGTCCACACACGTGCACACAGTCAGGCGCAGTGAAGCTGCCCCGTAAACGTCCTTGAACAATTGGTAGAGCAAACTTCCGTTACCACCGTCCAACCAGTTAGTAAACACTGTAGCTTTTGTGACTTTGGCGAGTGTAAGTCATTGTCTTGTTTGTGTAGTACAAAGATTCGGAGCTCTAAGTGTGAAAATCGAGTATTTTTGCGTTTGTGCCCAGTTTCAAAGTGAAGCATCATCATCTAACCTTCTCCAAGTAGATTCAAACTTACCTGCTTAATAAAATTCTGTTTTGATACGTCCTTCCCTCTTCAGAAAAGGATCTTCGGGAGATAGGGCGTATTTAGCAGGTGCCTTACGAGGCTTCAGTGAGTGGCCGCCCGTTAAGGTCACACCCCTAACTACCGAAGGAAGGCACAGCCTTGCCTTAACGCGGGCTTGGAAGAGGGGCGCAGAGCTTCTATCAGGTCCCACCTCCAAAGCAAAGACTTCCCCAGGGGGAGAAGTACCTCGTACAAATTACATTCCAAAGCAAGCACTGACTTGTGTAGGTTAAAAACAGAAGTGTCTTCATATCCTGATAAAGGATTTTTAAAATAACGTACAGTGGGGTGGCATTCCTGCTGGAGCTCCTGGGCCGTATCGCTCTGTCCCTCGGCGTGGCCCTGGATTTTGCTGTAGAGGTCTTTGCAGTGCAGCACAGCCCCGCT